TGCATGACCATGCAGCAGGATCCTGCGGGCCCATGAGGCGGAGAGGCTGGAGTGGAATTGGACTGAGCTGGTTGGATCCTGACTCTCTCTCTCTGCCCAGCCCTGGAGCTCTCTGGGTCTGTGTGTCTGGGAGTGTCAGATTGGGCATTTGTTCCGTGGGAACAGTAATTCAATCTGAGAAGATCGTGGCCAGGGCCTTCGTGTGAATGGCGAGGTGAAAGTTGAAGAACGAAGGGCAGTCATCCTGTCCAAGGTGCCAGGAGGCTTGGACCAGGGCCAGAGATGACCATCAGGATGGACAAGGGGGCCTCTAGGTTGGAGGACTAGGTAGGCTTGGGCAGCGGGTCTGGGACTGAGGGAAGCTCTAGGGCACAAACTTGAGGAGACCAGGGACCTAGCAGAAGTCCTGTGATTGGGAAAGGGGACATTTCTTCCCTCCCTCCTTTGATCTCCTCACCACCAGACATACGGGGCCATAGGGGGTGTTTCTTCCATACCTTGCCTGGGATCTGGGGGTCTTGACTACCATTTGGAAGCGCCTTTCTTCTACACAGAGCAGCTCCAGACCAATAGGAGGCAGTGTGACTTTGTGACAACTTCCAGCTCCACAGGGGGAAGCTGCCGATTGTGTACCCTTGAGGGATTCTGAGCCTCAAAGGTCCCCACCAAAGAGGAAAGTACTTCCTCTGCTAGCTGCCAGAATGCAGGTCATTTCTGGCTGTGTGATTCATAGAGAAGGTTCGCGAAGTCTCCTGTATCTTTAAGAGGTGTCGTAAACTTGCACATGGCCTTGGTGTACCACCTAAGGAGTGAGATAGGCTGGTGACACCTGTGAGGTCGGGGGTGCTGGTGGGGACCTGTCCTTGACTGCAAGGCCATCTTCCTCCAATAGCCACTATTTAAGAGCCTCTGAGGATGACACGGACTTATTTACTCCCTGACTGGGATGTGTTATGGAACGTGAGCAGTGTGTGGAACGTGTGCAACATTGCAGGAAGGATTCTTTGCATTTGTAACACTCTTTTCCATTTGATTTACAGTAAAAGTTCTGTGGTGTATGTAGGTTAGATCTAATGGAGCCCATTTTCCAGATAAGCTTCTCCTAATCCCTTGACCTTCCCTGTTACAGGGAGGAGGCAGAAGCCCTTCGTGAATGTCTGAACGAGCTGCAAGGATCCACGGATCTGGAGGCCAAAAAGCAGCAGGCTAGGGAGAGGTTTCTAAATCAGTTTCCTGAGTTGAAACTCAAGATTGAGGAGCGCATAAGAAAGCTCCGTGAGCTCGCAGATGAGGTGGACAGGGTACACAGGGACGCCACCATCGTCAGCGTAGCATCCGACTCTACTGCTGTCGCGTCAGGTGTCCTGAGCATCCTCGGTCTTGTTCTGGCGCCTTATGCAGCAGTGGCCTGTCTGGTAGTGTCAGGAATTTCAGCGGGGCTGGGAGTAGCATCGTCTGTGACCGGAATGTGTGCCAGCTCCATGGAAATGTCCAGCGAGTCTTCCTCCATAGACGAAGCAAATAGCCCGATATTGAGTGACACTGATGAAGACGAGGTATTTCAAAAGTTTCTGGATGACTGCATAGACTATTTTCCCCAAATACGTGATTTATATGAAGACCTGAGCGACCTTGCAACTAATGTTCGTGCCATCAGGGCAGCCAGGCGGAACCCTCAGCTGGCTGTCCAGGCCCAGCGCTTCAGGAGAGGTTTGTCTGTCTCAGGTCAAACTGCCAGGCGGGTGCAGAACACTTTTGGAGACACTGCTCTGACAATGACCAGAGGAGCCCGGGTCAGGAGTGGGCTTTTCTCAGTTCTCTTTCTTGGGTTAGATGTGTATGATCTTGTGAAAGACTCAATGAACCTGCAAGAGGGAGCAAAGGCAGAGTCAGCTGAAGACATGAGGCGGCGGGCCCAGGAGCTGGAGAGCAAGTTGGAGAAGCTCACCGAGTTCTACGAAGGTCTGAAGGAGGGCCTGCCTCCGTGATCCCGGAGCAGGGCGGGGAGCCGGAACATGTGTGGGACAAAGACATGGAGGTGCCTTATTAGAAGGGGGGAAAGGTTTGGGGTGCTCGGATGGGGTGTTGAGGAATTAGGCATTTCTGAAGCTGAGCCAGGGAGGGAGGGTTAATGCAGGACGGGCAGGGGGAGTCAAGGAGGGGAAGGAACATGGAACCTGGAAGAAGGAAGGAGGGGACAGGCAGTGAGGGGAAGGGACTAAAGGGGACACAGGGGAAATGGGTCAAGAGACGGGTGGAGGAACAAGTAATGGAAAAGCCAGAAATAATAAAGTTAGAATTCTTGGAATATGAGAGAAAATGACGCGTGTGATTTTGTCGTCTTCATACTTAGTTCTGAGCCTTCCTGAAGTTGACAATTGCTACTCAGGGTAGGATTTGACCAGGGATCTGTGCAAGGACCAATAAGTGTCCATGGGGTGATGCTGGCAGCCAGGTCACAAGTGACCCCAACCCGTGGCTCCCCTTCCACGTCCCATGAGTGACCAGGTACCGGCAGCATGGACGCAGTCCCCTCAGGTGTCGGTCTCTGCCAGCCACTCTGATGGCTTCAGAAGTCCTCGGTGTCCCATGTCCAGTTTGCAGCCCCTACTCCTGCCACCCCCGCCCCAGTCCCTAGACAGAGGGAGACCCGGCAGGTGGGGTCCTTGCTCTGAAACACGAGTCCTAAGCTCCAGCAGGGCCAAGCCCAGCACGCGTCCCCACGGGATGGAGAGACGGGGTGGGGGTGCTGGTCACGAGCCCCCGTCTGCTGACTGTCCCAGCCTCCGTCTGATGGTGCTGTGGCATCGCCCAAACATCTCCCTCCACGGTGTGAGGGGGACTCTCCCGGGGAGCCGGGGTCACCGTCCCCGAGGGCTGACATGGCTTATTGACCAGAGATGTTGCCCGAGACCCCGACTCTGGAACTGTGGTCATCCTGGGTGACTTTCTTTGTGATCCTTGGAGGTCAAGAGGAGCCTGATGTTATAGCCGCTCGATTTTTCGGGTCCACAGGTGGGGAGGACTCGGCACTCGTCCCTGCAGGTCAGAGACACCGAATCTTCACCTGAGGGGCCTGCAGGCCCAGCCTGGCCGCCGCCTCACGGGGCCGTGATCCTGGAGCCCGGCGAGGTCCACACGGCGAGGCCATGACACACAGGCATGAGACCCTCGGGCCGCAGCTCCCTGGGATGTCGTGTCGCGGTCCGCATCTCACGGTGGTTCCATCAGGGCGGCAGGCAAACCGCCAGCTCGGGAAAGGAAATACAATCGGGCGGAAGGGAGTTCACTCGGCAACGAGCAACAAGGAACCGAGGAAGGCGACGTGGATGAAACAGAACTTCAACCACGTGTTCGAGGTCCCAGTGTCAGCGTGGCCTTGACTTTCGGCTCCTTCCCTGAGTTGCAGGACCCAAGCCACCACCTGTCCCCCACCTGACTTTCCCATCTGCCAATTCAGGCCGAACTCCCGGGCCACCCACGGGGTGATCATCACAAACCTTGGGGTGCGATTCTTGGGTCATCATTCTGTCACTCTGTCCCTCCCTCAACGCTGGGGAGGAGACACGATGCCCGGGGACGCTTGCCTGGATGGGTGGGTCAGGTTGGCTTCCCTGTGTGCAGGTGCAAAGCCCACTGCTGTCCAGACTCTGCACACCTCACAAGCCGTGCGGCCCTTCCTCCTCGGCTTCTGTGTCCGTGCAGGGGGCCGGTATCTCCCAGAGCTGCTGTAGGAACCAGACAGGACTGCGTGGACAGGGCCTACCTAGCGCCTGGTGCTCCCCCAGCTCTGTCCACTGTTGAAAACAGCAGCGGTTCCTCAGCTGTCTTCCGCAAGCGTCTGCAGCCTTGCCAGGGGCACTTGGCCAGCAAGGGCGGGCGTCCTGGGGCTGTCCTGGCATCAGGGACAAGTCTAGAGAGACCTGATTAGACCCCGATGGTGGAAGGGAAGACACGGACATGGTGACCAGAAAAGGGGATTTCGGCCTTCTCCCTGGTGCCATGAGATCGGAGTAGGGCACAGGGACTCTGCCAGGGAGGCTGCTGGAGGGCTTCTCAGAAGAGGTGATGCTCGAGTTGGGCTCTGAAGTTCGAGCCTGATTTTTCCAGGTGGTGAAGCAGGTGCTCCTGGCAGGAGGATCTGCATCAGCGAATGCCTGGAAGCCCCTGGTGGCATTTAGCGGCTGCCGCATGGCAAGTACACGGTGAGTACCTGGTATGTTGGGGACAGGAAGGTGAATAAGGCAGGCATGGCGGTGGGGGGTGCGGTGGGAGGGACGGAGAGGAGGGGCTGGGAACAAGCCCTGGGGGGGGGTTAGTGGGTGGGGGAGACATTTGCTGAGGGTCCCACAGTGTGTCCGTGGCAGGAAGGGCTGAGGGGAGAAGGACCTGGCGTGTCAGGTGTGGGCTTGTCCTTTGAGGGAGTCAGGACAGCCGAGGGTGGGCAGGTGAGTGGGACCGGCCCGGACATGTCTGTTTCCTCCCGAGCTGCTGGGACGTGGACACTTTCAGTTTCCCTTCAGGTCCCCGATATATCTGGGCCCGGTGTGTGGTTATTGCCCAGACACACACCCGGGTCCACACAGGCACAAACCCCTGGATGTGTCTCAGCTCCGAGGATGATGTCTGGGTGAGCTTGGGGCTGGGGCCCTGCCCGTGGGCTCCCCCTCCAAACAGCTCCGTCAGGAAAGGATCGCGTGTTGTCACGATTTTGTCGATGAGGGGGAACCTGCAGCTCCAGCCCCAGGTCCCCCGCAGAGCAGGGACACAGCCCGGATTTGCAGCCGGGTTTGTCCGACTGCTTCTCCCCTCCCACTGTGTCCCCAAAACAGTGGAGATGGAGGGGGACACCGCTCAGCTCGTGTTGCAGACTACGTGTGACCGAGCAGGCGACCCCAGATGGAAGGCGGATGTCGGGGTGCTCATGCCTTCGGGGAATTTGGGAGGAAGCAGAGCAGGTGGAGGGCAGGTGAGGCAGAGCCTCAGGGCCACCCCCAGCAAAGGATTTCCTTTTGAGGTACAAGGACTCAGGGTTGTGTTCCCCACTGTGTCTCTGAGTGTCTGCGCAGTGTGCAGCCTGCAGGGTGCCTGAGGGCCTGACAGGGAGTGACTGGCCCAGGGTGCCATGACCGTGACCATGACCATGACAGGGAGACAGAGCAGGGAGATGTCTGGGCTTTGCTCCCTGCCCCCCACTGGGGCCTCTGTTCCACCCACTGTGGGGCGGGAAGAGAAGAGGTCGGCCTGTGTGCTCGCAGCAGAGGGAAGAGAGGGACGGGGGTGAGAAGTGTCACACGGCAGCGTGGTCCGGCCTTCGAATCTGAAAAGACCAAACTGTAGACTCCTGGGGTCGATGATAAGGGCATGAACTTAGATCCGTGTGTTTGCCGGCAGAGGTAAACCTAGAAGCCTTCGGGTTGTAAAAATCTCATTTCTTACCAAACACCTGCTTCAGGAGGCCTGGTCTTCCCTTCTGCCCTGCCTGCCGACCACCGTGTGAGTCTGGGTGAGTCCCTTCCCTGGGGATTCTCTGTTCCCATCTCTTAAGAACTTGGCTTCAGTCTTTTCATGGGGATTCCCAGGATCTGTCGTGTTTCGTGGGCGCTCAGCTTTTGCTGGTCCATGGATTGCGGGTGGGGCCTCCTGGCCTCTCACTGCAGTCTGACTTTGTTCATGGTGTCCTGTGCAATTTTTAGCTGCTAATAGGGCAGATAACTGAAGCTTTCCCTTTATGGCATCTGGAATTTGCATCTTGATTAGAAAAGTTTCTCCACCTCCACATTATTTTTTAAAAAAAATTTCCCCAGGATATTTGAAGCTTTTTCCTTCTAGCTTACGCTTAGGTCCCGTTGGGATTGACTGATTGATTGATTTTGTACAAGTCTTTTGGTTTTTCCTTCTCCTCCTCCCACTCCTCCCTCTCTCCTCCCCTTTCTCCTCCCCTTCTTCCTCCCACCCCCCCCTTTTTTTTTTAAGATTTTATTTATTTATTTGACAGAGATCACAAGTAGGCAGAGAGGCAGGCAGAGAGAGAGGGGGAAGCAGGCTCCCCGCTGAGCAGAGAGCCAGATGCGGGGCTCGACCCCAAGACCCCGGGGATCATGACCTGAGCCAAAGGCAGAGGCTTAACCCACTGAGCCACCCAGATGCCCCAGGACACCCATGTTTTACTGCAATTTCCTCTTCCTCTTTCTCTTCACATAAACAATACTATGGCGGGAGCATGAAGACATGAGGAAATAAATGGAAATGCCCAGAAATCTGGGAGGACTGTCCAAAGCACATTAAATCAGGAGGGTAATTCGTGTGAAATCTGAGGCGTGGTCTTCTTTGTTCTTGGCCACAACAAGCTTTTATCAAGACAGACAAGAAAACAAGTGGAATTGCTCAGCGGGAGTGGAGCTGGGTACGTTGTGCTCCCACACCTTGGCTCTGAGCCCAGCTCAGGGTTCCCTGGGAGGCCCTGGAACAGGAGGTGTGGCAGGGAATAGGCAGGGCCCCGCCAGTGCTCAGAGCCAACAGAGGAGGTCACACAGAGGACTGCAGTCAGGACAGCGCACACTGAAGGGGAACCCAGATGGACCATGGGGAAGATGGCAGGGGAAGCAGTGGTTGAGCGGGGCCTCTCAGCACAGGTAAACTTTTACAAGGTGAGGAAGGTGGGGAAAGGCATTCGGGGAGGGGGGGAACAGTCTAAACAATGGCCTGGAGGCTGAGGTGTGATGAGAAGCAAGGAGGGGCTCGAGGCTGGGTCAGTCTGTAGAACCTGTGACTCTTGATCTCAGGGCCCTGTGTGAGTTCAAGCTCTATGTTGGGCATGGAGTCTACTTAAAATAAAAGTTAAAAAAGAAAAAAGAAAAAAAAAAAGACAAGCAGGGAAGTAAGGTGTCCTTGAGTGTGCTCCGACCAAGGCAACACAGAATCAGGGAACAGTGAGGAAAACAGGAGCAGGATCATTAGGGAACTGGGGCGGGGGCAGGCTAAGGAGTTTGAACCTGGTCCTGTCCTTGGCTCGCCTTTCCTCCCTGCCCGAGGAGCCTGGCTGTAGCCATTCTGGGAGACGCTTTGGTGAGATTCTCTGTCCTGCTGCCTCTGGAGAGGCATTAGCCAGAGCCGGTGGGGATGGGAGGTGGGGATGGGGGGTGGGGATGGGAGGGCTCCGTGTCCTGTCTGGGCCACGCAGGTGGGCAGGGATGGCTAGACCCTATATCTGTAGAAGGGTGGCGTTCACGCTGATTATTCTCGTTGAACCTACATTATCATCCCACTTTTCTTAGAGAACTTACTTTATCAACCACCGAGGTTTCTCCCACGCTGCCACTTGTCACATCGGGAGTCAGGCTGATTTCCTATGGGTACCCGATCCACTGGTTCTCATCATCTTGAACGCGGTGGTGCCAGAAACCAGCCCATTATTGGGGTGAGCTGTTACTCACTGCTCTAAAGGGACTTCCACTTTCTTAAAATTAAAAAAGAAATCAAATAAGCACAAATGGTTAAAACAAATCCATTAGTCCCGAGGGCTCTGCTCACCCACTTTCCCAATTAAAAACAATCACTTTTAATGTGTTGCTTTTCCTTTAGGTGGTTAATCAGTATCTTTATATGATATTCCTACACTAGGAGAACAGAATAGGTGAGCGTGTAGGCTCTGGAGACAGGGAGTCTGGATTTGAATTCCGGCTCTGGCACTAGCTGGGTGCTTTGGGTCAATTACCTAACCTTTCTGGGCTTCAGTTCCTTTTCTTACAGAGTCATGGTGAGAACTAATGTATGAGTCGATGCGTCCAAATCACTTAGAATGGTGCCTGGTGCAAAGCAGTAGTCACCCACCACGATAGCTAACTTCATTCCCTTGATTTTTAAATTGCAATATGAGCGAGCTACTTATTTCTTACTAGGGCAGAGAATGATTTCACTTATTTTTATACTTTTTCTTACACACCTCCCCACCTTGTCCTAATATCATTCTATCACTAAGTTTATGTCCTCAGTTAGAAACCTTTCTAGTCGTAAGCCATTTACTTACACCTCTGTTTCTTTCTTTCTTTTTTCTTACCTCTTCATTTCCTAGCCTCTCAATTGTAGCTGGTATTTTTGGGCTCCTCACTTTGTAAAATGAGGATATTAATCCTCCTCCTCTCTTCAGTGCTGCAGCTCCCAACTTCTACCATTGTACTTTGATTTACATATTGGCAACAAGCACATTTGGTTCTCATATTTAAATGGTCTCTTTTGTTCTAGAAGTTAAAAATCATAGAAGAATGTTTACATATGTGTGATGTTTTCAGTATTGTTTACTGTAAAGCTAACTTGTGAAATATGGTTGTACGTGGGTTTTTTTTTATGATTCTTATTAATTTGTCAGAAAGTGAGAGTGAGGCAGCAGGCAGAGGGAGAAGTAGGCTCCCCATTGAGCAAGGAGTCTGATGTGGGACAAGATCTCCGGACCCTGGGATCCTGACCTGAGCTGAAGGCAGACGCTTAACCCACTGAGCCACCCAGGCACCCCTGTACATGCTTTCTTTTTCTTTCTTCTTTTTCTTTCTTGTACATGCTTTCTTGTACAGCTTTAGTTTTTCCTGAATTCCTAATTGCCCTTTTTTTCTACTCCTTGCACTGTTACCTTCAATGTTTCCTCAATTTCTTTTGAAAAGTCCATTATATAAGATATTATATAATTTATATTATTATAGGTCCCCCTTCCCCACACAACTCTTCACTTCTTACTCCATTCTGGGCTGTTGCTCTCTACGTCTGCTGCATGCCCAGCTGCATTCCTTGGGTTCCTTTCTGTCTATGTTAATGTTCCTGTTTCCTGGACCTCACATCTTTCTGTCTCTTGGTTTCTCGGTCACTATCCTCTACCCCACCCCATAAACACATGAACTTTTTTTTTTTTCTGCAGCTCTTTCTCAAGTAATTTTCTAAGAAATGATAGCATTGGTAACTTGTGATTCCTCATTTAGATCCATTTCTTCCGTCACCTTTTTGTTTTATTTTCTGGAAGTTTTCCTTGACTATTCCAACCTTTTCCTAGACTTCTTTAGTTTGTCAATCACTTTTTGAGTCCCAAGAGCCCTTTCTTGGTCTATTATTGTTATTATTATTATTTTACTTTTTCAGTGCATCGTGTTCTCATTTTATGAAGACAACACCTTTCTAATCTCCCTGAGGACATTGGGTCAAGGTTTAAAAAATCATTTTCTAGAATCAAAATTATGTGTTTTTTTCTGGTATTGTTTTTAAGGTTTATGAAGTCCAGTTGATTTTTGTTGTGTTGTTTTTTCAGTAAGCTCTATGCCCAACATGGGCTTGAACTCATGACCTGGAGATCAAGTGTGGCATGCTCTGCCAACAGCCAGCCAGGTGCCCAATCTGCAGTCGTTTTTCAATTGATCTTAGCCACCCTTTCCAACTGGTCATCTTTCTTGTGTATCTGATCCCAGGTTGCCCATCCGTATCTAAGAGAGAGGTAGGTTGACTGACAGGCTTCCATGTAGAGTGATCGGATGAGGACCCTTTAGGTGTCAGAAGACAGGTATTTTTTTCTGGAGTATTTCACTTTTGAATTTTCCCCATCTGGTGTAGACTTAGGCTGCCGTGAATATAGGGTCGGGTGTGGGGTTGGTAACCTTATTCCTGCTCACCTCCACCTGCCTCTCAGCTTCCGTCTCCCTTTCCGCAGCTCTGTGTAGCAGACCGTTCTTGCTGCCTATTGACTTGTTCTCTCTCTGTTTTTCTGAAGGGAGTTCCCTCTGATCTTCTTTATTCAGCTATCAATACTCCACCCAATCTGCCTCCAAACATTTGTCTAAGCCTCTGGATTCCTGTTGGACACATTCTCCTTTTAAAGTGGTAGCAGAGGGCGCCTGGGTGGCTCAGTGGGTTGAGCCTCTGCCTTTGGCTCAGGTCATGATCTCAGGGTCCTGATATCTATCGAAGGCCACATCGGGGTCTCTGCTCAGCGGGGAGCCTGCTTCCCCCTCTCTCTCTGCCTGCCTCTCTGCCTACTTGTGATTTCTCTCTCTGTCAGATAAATAAGGAAAATCTTTTGAAAATAATAAAAAAATAGAAAAAATAAAGTAGTAGCAGAATGAGGAGAGGCAGTGTGGGGTCTTTGAGTCCAGCAAGCAGGACCTTGAAGACTTGAACCCAGTCTATCACTTACTGGATTTCTGACCTGGGGCACGTCATATAGTCTGCACTTGAGTTTCCGTATCTATAAACAGGGAGGCAAACGATACACGTACAACTCCATGATTATTGGAAGAAGACAGGTTATTATTTGTAAAGTTGTAGAGCAATTACCAGTGCAGAGCAAAGGCCACAGATGTGAGTCACTCTTATCATTAGTTATTTTTATACCTGTAAGTCCCTTTACTATCATTTCAGTCAGGTCTCAGGAGGGAAAGCTGATAAATGCTCTTTTGCCTTCTTCAAATAGGACCTGGGGCACCTGGCAGGCTTATTCTGAAAAGTTTGGGACTCTTGATCTTGGGGTTGTGAGTTCGAGTCCCAGATTGGGTGTCGAGATTACTAAAAAAAATAAATAAACTTAAAAACAATGCTTAGGGTGCGTGGGTGACTCAGTTGATTGTCTGCCTTTGGCTCAGTTCATGATCCTAGGGTCCTGGAATTGAGCCCCGCGTCAGGCTCCCAGCTCATTTGGGAGTCTGCTTCTCCCTCTGCCCCTTCTCCTAGTCATTCTCTCCATCTCTCTTTCTCTCTCAAATAATAAATAAATAAGATCTTAAAAAAATAATGCTTAAGAGTAATCAACATTTCCTGTCTTTCCTTGTCTCCCAAGACAAGCTAAAAACAGAACTAAAAGAAATTCTCTGTCTATAAGGGTGTGTTTTTTACAAAAGACTACGAAGAACCATTAAGAATAGAGCAGTGGACACCCTCATGTACTGTGAGTGTGAGTGTGAATTGGTATAATTTTTTTTATAACAGTGTGGCGCTAGGCATGAAAAAATGTGTATGTGCTGATAGCTTCTGACCTAGTCATCGTGCTTCTAGCAATGACTTAAGGTAACAATCTCAAATGCAAAATGCAAAGTTTTATACAAAGAGATTGTTCTTTTCACTTTCCTTTAGATAAAGAATTAGAAGCAGTCTAAGGTTCAAAGTTGGGGGAGGACAGCAGAGAAGACTGGGCATTATTGGGAAGGCTTGAGAATCCGCAGTCAAGACGGTAGGGATTGCGCCAGGACTCAGCAGGACTCCAGGCCATGTGGGATGAAGAATCTTGCAGAAGCAAGGAGGGCACAGGCTGTGGGAAGCTGTGGCACCAGGAAATTGATCGAGACAGAGACTGGTTAGTGCTGCAAGCCAACGCTGTGGAAGGAGAGGAGTCATTTACAAATAAATACTTACACAGCTGACCCTTGAACAACACAGATCTGCTTATATGCAGATTTTTTCATTAAATATATGTACAAAATGGTAAATGTACTTGCTCTTCCTTGTGATTTTCTTCTTTTTTAAGATTTTATTTATTTATTTGACAGAGAGGACACATGAGCAGGGGGGAGGGGCAGAGGGAGAGGGAGAAGCAGACCCCTATTAAGGAGGGAGACAGTTATAGGGGCTCTATCCCAGGACCCTGGGATCATGACCTGAGCTGAAGGCAGATTCTTAAATGACTGAATTTCCCAGGTGCCCCTTACTATTGATTTTCTTAACCCTTTCTTTTCTCTGGCTTACTCTATTGCAAGAATTCAGTACGTAATACATAGGACATACGTAGTGCGTGTTGCTGAGCAGTTCGTGTTATCGGTAAGGCTTCTGGTCACGAGTGGGCTCTTAGTAGTTCAGTTTTGGGAAGTCAGGAGGCGCCTGGGTTGCTCCGTTGTTAAGGGTTTGCCTCCATCTCAGGTCAGGATCCCAGGGTTCTGGGACTGAGCCATGCATGGGGCTCCCTGCCCAGTAGGAAGCCTGCTTCTCTCTCTCTCACTCCCCCTGCTTGTGTTCCCTCACTCACTGTCTCTCTCTCTGTGTCAAATAAATAAGAAATCTTTAAAAAAGTTTGGGGAAGTCAGAAGTTATGCGTGAAGTTTTTACTGCACGATGATGGGGATTATTGCCCTTAACCCCCGTGTTGTTCAAAGGTCACTGTACATGAATAAGAGTCTTTGCATGTTAAACGGAGTAGAGCACAGTTGTCACAAACACAGGATTTGGATCAGAGACACTCAGGTTCCCGTCCTGGAGTGTGTGTGGGTACTCAGTGAGGGGCCACCTCAGGAGCCTGCCTGTCATCAATACTCGATCAGTATTAGCTCTTACCCATCAGTAAACACACGTTCCGGACCTCAAGGAATTTCCAGAACACGTGTTCCCATCTTTTCTTCTGTTTGGTTTCATTGCTTCTGTAACTTCTCAGATGGCAGTCGCCTCGTCCGATGATCTTCTTCTTGTGCCCCAACAGGCGACAGGACCCTGACTCGGCTTGGGAGTGAGCTGGAGTGAGGTGAGTAACTTTCCTTCAATAGCAGCGGCAGGAGCCAGTACACACACACGGGGTAAAGTCCATCCTGGCATTTGTCGCCATCCCAGAGGGAAGCCCCAAGACCTGGCCCCTCACTGCTGCCTGCTGCCTCCGCTGGCTCACATCTGACCCCACGTTTTGTTCTCTCTTGCCCAGGGGTGAAGCGACAGCTCCTTCTAACTGCAACGCGGACGCAAGCAGTAGGGAAAGCTACGGCGACACCATGACCTCGGGAGCCCGTGGGCTCAGCCCAGGTAGTCGCCTTCCACTTCTCTGGATGATCCCTGGAATTGCGGGGATGCCTCCAGCTGAGCTCACCCACAGAGGAATCGGTCCCTTGAAGAGCTTCCTTGAGCCCCCAAGAGAGGTCAAGGGGAGTCCCCAGCCCAGGAGTCTGTAGGGACACCTCCCTCTTGTCTTCTGAGGGTCATGGCTGAGGTGCTTACTTCCTCCCTTCCCCTGCTGCCCGTCAAATCCATCAATGACCCAGAAGTGAGGCCAGGACAGTCCAGAGGGAGGTGGGGGAGAGCAGAGGGGAAAGGAGGGGAAAAAAGGGATCCTGAGGCGTGGTGGGGGGAGGGGGTAGACCAGCAGCCTTGGAGCGTGGTCCTGCCCTCTTGCCCTGTCCAAGCCTCCAGCATGGCTCAGGATGACTGTGGGGCTTTACAAGAGAGGCCATTTCCTCCAGCTCTCACCCGGCTGCCAGCCTGAGTGCTCTGTGAGGGTCAGTGGGCCACGACCTGGACCCCGGTCTGGTCTTTGCTACCTCCCAGCTGTGTGATCTGGAGTGCCTTACCTTACCTAACCTGTAAAATGAGAGTATTTCCTTGTATGGTTATGAAGATCAAATAGAATGTGTTTATGTGTTTGGGCCAGGGCCTGCTACAGAGTGTGTCCTCCTTAAGTATTGTTGCTGTCCCCTGTCCCTGGAACCTGTTAGTTCCAGGTAAAACCTCCCCTCCCGTAGCATCCCCCGGACTCCCATGGCTACGTTAGGGCACTTGTCCTGTGTCCCAGCTGAAAGCCCCTGCCTATCAGATACGAAAGCGGGGCAGGAACTGATTCTGTTGATCTCAATACCCCTGCCTACGCCGACTCTCACCTATTTCCCTGCCCCCCCACTCCGTCCCAACAACAAGTCCATAAAAGCACAGTTTAGTGCTGTGGTTTCCCTCCAGCTAAGCCCAGGTTTCTTCTCTCCCTTAGTGAAGCAGGAATAAGAGAAAACTAAAAACTTTCATTTTTTTGTTCCATCTAGAGAGTGAATGATTTCTCGAGGAGGTCATTGAGACTTTCCAGAACTCAGTGAGCAGAGAGATGCTGCACGTCCTGCTGACTGACCATGAAGCCTGGAGAGATTCGTGGCTGTGGCCACTTTGTCCAGGTAACTCCCTGGCCCCAGATGCCCCAAGATGGTCACCCAGGTCTCTGCGGGACAGAGTCCTGGGTTGGGGTTGAGCATGTTCCTTGTCGACAGTTCATGAGGAACATGTCTTCCATGACAATCACTGGCAGTTAATGGCCTCAAATTAAGGAGAGGCGAAACCTGCAGAGGGCAGGTTATGAGACCTTGGGCTTTAACCTAAAGCTGACCCTTCTCCGCCTTGATGTGTTCATCTGTTCAATTTTATCATGAGGAAATGAAGACAATGCCTGTAACGTCCCTAGCATAGTGATGACACATAGTTGGTACCCATTAATGTTAAGTCTTTAGAGGATTGCTGAGAAGTGACGGGGGTCAAGGTTCTTCTTCCTGGAGATGAGGGCCAAGCACGACTTCCTCTGGGACCAGTCACAGGAAGGCCGATGCCTCAGTCTGTGGCCCTGGGGATTCGGACGAGAGCCTTCCCTCCCCACCTGAGCAGTTGCATGACCATGCAGCAGGATCCTGCGGGCCCATGAGGCGGAGAGGCTGGAGTGGAATTGGACTGAGCTGGTTGGATCCTGACTCTCTCTCTCTGCCCAG